TGGAGAAAATAATAAAGCTTCTTTGAAAGCCTTAAGAGAAGATGTAACTAATGAGGTGTATACCATTTTTCTGGAAGAGAACCTAACGTAAAGGTGTCAGTTTTCCCCAAAATAGTTTATACATTCAGTACAATTCGAATCAATATCCCAACAAAATTTTTGGTAGAACTTAATGAACTGACCCTGAAAATCATGTGGAAGAACCAATGTCCAAGAACAAACAAGGCACTTTTGAAGCTGTAGACCAAGGTAGAGAACATGTCTATAGATAACAAGACTTCTAAAGTTATACTAATTAAGTCAATGTGATATTGGTTTAGGAATAAACAAAAAAATCAGTGGTACAGAACAGAGACTCTTAAGCAAACATGCATACAGTGGAATCTTCATAATGTAACAGGTGGCATTACAAATCAGGGCAAAGGATAGAAGAATCAATAATTAAGGTGCTGGACAAACTGACATCATGTATTTCATATGTGATATAGTGAGAAGGGTACACCACCATTTATGTGGTATGCCTCTTGAGAATGAGTAGCCTGAAACTAATCATGAGGAAACATCAGACAAGCTCAGGTTGGTCTTCTGTAAAACAACTGTTTATTCTTCAAAAATGTCACTGTCATGAAAGACTGAGAAAAGCTGAGAAGATGTTCCAGATTAAGGAGACTAAAGAGACATGATAACTAAAAGCAGTAAGTGACCCTGGATCAGAAGAAGGAAAATTCCATAAAGAAATTATTGGAATAATTAATAAAATTTATATATGAATTGTGTATTAGACAGTAACATTGTATAAATTTTAGATTTCTTAAATTTGATAGTTACTTGTGGTTATATTGCTAACTTGTGGTTATATTACTAGTTACTCTAGGATATATAGTTCAGTGCAAAAAAATCTCTCAAGTGAGAGACATAAAGCAATGGTGGCAAAATATCAAAAAGTGGTGAATCCGCATTAAGGGTATACTGACTTAATTTTAAAAACAAATACTTCAGGAGGACTTCCCTGGGGTTCCAGTGGGTAAGACTCTGCTCTCCCAATGCAGGAGGCCCAGGTTCGATCCCTGGTCGGGGAACTAGATCCTGCATGCATGCTGCAACTAAGGAGTTTCCATGCCACAACTAAGAGTGCATGCTGCAACTAAGAAGTCTGCATGCTGCAACTAAAAGATCCCACATGCAGCTACGAAGATCCCACATGCTGCAACTAAGACCCGGCGCAGCCTAAATAAGTAAATAAATATTAAAACAAAAAACCTTCAAAAAATGATTCTGGGAGAATTGATTATTGATTAAAAAATTAAATTAGATTCCTGCCTCATACTATACCTGCATTAAAAAAAAAATTCTAGATGGATTAAAGGCCCAATTGTGAAAAGTAAAACTTTTAGAGAAAATATATGAGAATAGTTTCTATGTTGTCTCATGGTAGGGAAAAATGTTTTTTGTGTTTTTTTTTTGCGGTACGTGGGCCTCTCACTGTTGTGGCCTCTCCCGTCGCGGAGCACAGGCTCCGGCCGCGCAGGCTCAGCGGCCATGGCTCACGGGCCCAGCCGCTCCACGGCATGTGGGATCCTCCCGGACAGGGGCACGAACCCGCGTCCCCTGCATCGGCAGGTGGACTCTCAACCACTGCGCCACCAGGGAAGCCCCGGGAAGAATGTTTTATATGAGAATAGTTTATGTGTTGTCTCATGGTAGGGAAGAATGTTTTAAAATGAGAGCAAAAAAGCATGAATATTACAGGAAATGATTGCTAAATTTTAAGTCCATTAAAATAAAAACCTTCTGTTTATAAAACTCATCAATTAAAAAGTGAAAAAGGCAAGACTAATGGTTGGGGAAATATTTGCAAGTAATATAATTCACAAAGATTAATATCCAGAATTTGTAAAGAACTGTCACAAATCAATAAGAAAAGGCAAGGTCGGGGGGAGATATCCAGTAATAAAAGACAAAAGAATCTGTAGAGGTAATGGACAGGAAACTCAAATATCCAATGAAACATGAAAGTTGCTTAACCTCACTGTCATCAAAGATGTAAATTAAAGCTACAGTCAGGTTGTAAAGCTACAAACATGTCATACTATTAGATTGGCAAAAGTTTTAAATTTTATGGTATTGTAGTAACTCATTGAGCATTTATTATGTGTAAACACGTTTCTAAGTGCTTTAGGTATATAACTTATTCCTCACACAATCATAAGAGTTTGATAATATCCTCATTTTATAGATGAAGAAACTGACTTAGAGAGAAGTTAAGGTCACCCATTTAGAAAGTGGTAGAGGTAGAATTTGAATCCAAACACTGTCGCTCTAGGGCCCAATGAATTGAATACCGTGACAGAAGTAGTAGTGCAAAGTGGTTAGGAAGAAAGATTATGGAAACAGGTTACATTCCCAGTAACCCATGAGATCTTGGTCAAGTTACTTAACCTCTCAGTTCCTTGTTTGTGGCACTTACTTTATCATGGGTCGTTGGGAGGCTTAGATAGGTTACTATTTTATTATTATTCTATACTGCTTCTCTAAGTACGGGTGAAGGTGTGGTATAATAAACTCATACACATTTCTGGTTGGGAGAGTAAATTGGTGCAGCTGCTGTACTACTTTGTTCTTTTAAAGGATTTAATAAATTGAAGGTGTACCATAGTACCTTCAACTTTGAAATACCTTTTGGAAAATATCTAGCAATTCAGCTCCTAATTATTTATCTTAAAGAAACTCTCACACATATTGCCAAGGAACTATGCATCAAGGTGTTCATTGCAACATTGTGTTAGCTGGAAGCAGCCTCAATGGCTATCAACTAAAAAAATGGTTGAATAAATTATACTATTTTTATACAATATAATAGTATATATTAGATTTTTAAAAGTGAACTATAGTCACATGGGTGAACATAGATATGTCTTGAATGATAATGAACAGAAGTCTGTAGAAGGATGTATACATTGTGGTGCCATTCATATAAAGTATATAGAAAAAGATTACGATATTTCATTGAATGTAAGATTCCACAGATTTTAAGGTGTACCGTTATTTTAGTAATCACTAAGAAAAAATATCATGAAACTATGGTATACCATCAATCGTAATATACATGATAATTTTAGAGATGTTAAAAATGTGAAAACAATGTGCCTCTTACAATAGATGAACTATGATGTATTGTTTGTGGATTATTTGGTCAACATGTGAATGTACAAAATGTATGATGATAACAAAACAAAGTCACACTAGGGTTACCTCTGTGGAAGAAGTCAGGGGAATAGGATTTGGAGGTGAACAGGGACCTCAACTCTGCAATGTCTATAATGTTTTGTTTGCTTAAAATAAAATGGCTACATGAAACAAAAATAGCAAAGAGTTAAGATTCACAAAAGTTGGGTTGGGAGTACATATATATATTTATCCATTCTTTTCTGTGTGGCTGAAAATATTATGACCTTTTTATAAACATTGGTGGTGGGACTTCCCTGGTGGTGCAGTGGTTAAGAATCCGCCTGCCAATGCAGGGGACACGGGTTTGAGCCCTGGTCTGGGAAGATCCCACATGCTGTGGAGCAACTAAGCCCATGAGCCACAACTACTGAGCCTGCACTCTAGAGCCTGCAAGCCACAACTACTGTGCGCCTAGAGCCCATGCTCCACAGCAAGAGAAGCCACCGCAATGAGAAGCCTGTGTACCGCAACAAGGAGTGGCCCCCACTTGCCGCATCTAGAGAAAGCCTGCGCACAGCAACAAAGACCCAACGCAGCCAAAAAATAAAAATAAATAAATAAAGCTATTAAATCTGGTCAAAAGTATGGACCATTTAAAAAATAAAAAGTGAAAAATACAGGTATCCTTTGCTCTCTGAATTCCAGCTATGCCAACTAAGGAATGGAATATATTCTCATAGATTTTCAAATAAATCCCTTATTGTTTAAACTCTTTTTCATTTGAAACTTGGAACCAGGCAAACATCTCTGATATCCACAGTTGCTGTCCAAATTTAAGAACCCCATATATTCAGGAAGTAAGAGATACTTTCACTTGAATTTGTAAGCCAATAGAGAAGAGACTGAAAATACAGAAGAGTCCTGAAAGGGAAGAACTAAGATCCAGAGTATAGATAAAGGAATTCACCTTGGATAAGAGAAGAGTCACTAACTTCAAAATAATGTGATGAAAATAAGTTTAAATATAGAAAAATTTTTAGATGTGGATATGAAATTGACCAAGTTCCAGCCTAGTAGTCTCAATTCACTGTGAGAGGTATGAAGAAAGGTCAGGATTAACTAAGAGGTGAGACAGAATGGTTGCGCTTGCTTGGTAGTGGTTGGTTTTTGTTGTTCAGATTTTATATCTTTTTTGAAAATTTACTTGGCCTTTTCAAAGATCACAGGATCTACTGAGTACTTTTTTTTTTTTGGCAGTACGTGGGCCTCTCACTGTTGTGGCCTCTCCCATTGCGGAGCACAGGCTCTGGACACACAGGCTCAGCGGCCATGGCTCATGGGCCCAGCCACTTCGCGGCATGTGGGATCTTCCCGGACCGGGAACATGAACCCGTGTCCCCTGCATCAGCAGGCGGACTCTCAACCACTGTGCTACCAGGGAAGCCCTACTGAATATTTTTAATATACTAGACAGTGGATTGATTCTGTAATACCTGATCTTTGAAAATTTATCATATAGCCTCAGGCAACTTCCCTAATCTGTCTTTTCCAGACAGAGGAAAAATTGGCAACACATAAGAATGTCTGTATGTTTCAAAGTTTATAAGTATTTTATGTTCTATTTTATTTTTCATATAGATATCATAGTGAGGAAGTTATTGTAGTCTAGTCTTCATTTTTCATTTTGCCATTTTAAGCCTTATACTCTTTTTTAACACCGAAAAATCTGCTTCTCTCTAGTTATTCCTTATAATTAAATATAGGTTATTTTGGAACTTAAATACACAAGTACAGAGCATTCTTTACTTTTATTAATTATCGTTAAATTTTAGAGCTGAACGACAAAGGAATGAAGCACTATATAATGCTGAAGAGCTAAGTAAAGCTTTCCAACATTATAAAGAAAAGGTGGCTGAAAAACTGGAAAAGGTAAGAGGCAGTTGTGCAAATTCAGTGTTTTGTATTACCATCCACATTCTGAAAATATAGACATAAATAGGATATATTTATGGTTAAAGTGGGGAGTAATTTTTATGATCTCATTCATAATAAAATCATTGAAATAAAGAATTTATAATTATTAGTTAAGTATAATATTTACCATCTTCTTATAATGAGCAGAAACTTTCTTATCCAGAGAAGGAAAAGAGTGGAGACAAGGGACAAAATGTAGAGAAAGATGGGGTGAGTGAGCAGTTTAGAGCTATAGAAGTAAAAGCAGGAAATTTGTTCCCATCACCTCAGTGAAAATGAAGGCAGAGTAGATTATGTAGCCTTTAATTGGTCTCCTTAGACATAACACCCTGAGAGAGGCTCACTTCTGCCTCTCAGAGGGAAGGTTCCTTGAATAGGTTCTACATAGTAATATAGTGGCTTAATTACATTCATTGAATACCTTCAAGTAATACCACATGATAATAAACCTGTTTGGAGGGAGGCCACATGTTGGACATTAAGATAAATTCTTTATATCCTTAATTAATATTTACAGATTCTCTTCGAAGAAAGGTAGAAGGATAGAAGAAATATTAAAAATAAGAAAAATTTAAGATCCCATTAGATACTGACGTCTTAAGTGTGAATTAATAAGATCACTGTTTTGAAAGCCTTGGAAAAGGTCCCTGCGGGAAAGAAATATTGTAGAAGGGATTTTTAATAAGGTAATCTGGACTGGGAGGTAGAATACTTAGTAGGGGGAATATCCTCCTAGAGAGGGAGGACTTTATAGAGGAAAGAGAGGAAAATGTAAGAGATGATTTTTTTCATACTTCTTAGGATTATCAATTTCAAACTGCTCAGCAGAGCCCTATAGTTAGATATAACAAAGGAAGTGGGGCAAATCTGTCCAGTCCTCCATTCCCACTGCTCAAACCTGGATGCTTGACTTTTATCTGTTTTAAATTTGGGGCTGTGATTTCCTTGGGAGTATTCTGTGGCTAAAATTTCAAAAATTACTTCTCTGGAACATTTACACTAAAGTTAGCCTTTAGTAACTTGATGCAGCATCTCTACATGAGTTGCTTGCCTTGTCTACATAGAGCAGAACAATTCTGCTTTCAGGTAATCATGTGGTTGTTCCTTTCTTATAGGCTATTAACCATTTCTGGACAGGTGGTAGCATTCCCCCCTCCCTGTTCTTTGTTGCTGGAAGTTCACTTTGCTCCTTTCACTACAAGGCTGGGGACTTAAACGTGTGGAGTACTTACTCCACTCCTGCTTATTTACGAAATCACTACATTTTAATTTGAAATACCTAAAACTTATGACCACATTAGTGCATCCACTTAAAACAAATTATTGTTTTAGGTTCAAGCTGAAGAAGCAATATTAGAGAAAAATCTAATTAACTGTGAAAAAGAAAATAAAAGGCTACAGGAAAAGTGTGGTCTACATAAAAGTGAACTTGAAATTCTGAAAGAGAAATCAAGGTACAGTATCCTATTGTAAAAAAAGGATTTTTGTGTGGAAGTAGAGAAAAAACTGAAACATTTAAAAATAGAATATTTTGAATTCTGTAATTATGGCCTTAACTAATGTAGAAAGATAGGCATCCATGACTGAAATTGTTCTCTACTTGTAAGTTTAGGATTTTAAATGAATAAAACGTGTTGATGTTAATATACTTGTAAATATAGAGTAATATGATCAACATATTTGCTTTGAATATATTTAGAAAAAATTAACACAGATGTAGTGTCCTTGTAGTGTGATCACATTAGCTAGTAAAATATGTATTCTTCAAATCATGAAGCATCACCTAGTGTAACCTCATTTCAGAGATGTTAAAAATGTGATAAAGGGAACTGGTGAAATACAATAACAGTTCTAAACAGTAGATTGTTCTAATGTTTGACATGTTTTTATAGGTATACACATATATGTTTAAAAACGCTGCATAGTAATCTGTTAATCGTTAATTAGATTTTATCTTTTAGAGTTGTGGCTAATAAATAGTTTGTGACTTTTTTTCCTTATACTATCTAAAACTTTCTTGATGCTGCAAAACATTGTGTCAGGATTTTGGAGCTAACTCTCCTGTCATACACTTTTTAAAAGGGAGCAGAAATACCTCCAAGATAGTGGGATTATTCTGCTCAACTACTTACTGTGAGACACTGGGCAAGTTTCATAACCTTTCCTTGCCTTGTTTTCCTCCATCCATAAGCAGGGAGTAACAATAATGCTAGCCACATAAAGTTGTGAGTGCCTAGCATGCAGAAGGTAGGCACTCAGTAAATGTGAGCAAGTATTATTATTTCAGAATTAAGCTTTAAAATATTTAAAAAGTGAGATTAACTAAATATGATTATTGAAAGTAAATGTATGTTTTATTTTCATTTTTATGCTTTTTTCTTCATAGGCAGTTAAAAGAAGAAAATAATAATGGAAAAGAAAAATTAAGGATCATGGCAGTGAAAAATTCAGAAGTCATGGCACAACTAACTGAATCTAGACAAAGTATTCTTAAGCTAGAGAGTGAGTTAGAGGATAAAGACAAAATACTTAGAGAAAAATTTTCTCTGATGAATGAAAACCGAGAATTAAAAGTTCGTATTGCAACACAGAATGAGAAACTGGATTTGTGTCAGCAAGAAATAGAAAGTTCAAGGGTGGAACTGAGAAGTTTGGAAAAAATTATGTCCCAGTTGCCAGTAAGTATGTGTGACAAGGAAAATTTTACCCAAGTGCTTTATAAGAGATCATAATTTTGTAGTTGCTTTATTACCTTCTATTTTTTTCCTCACGTCTGCTTTCAGTCATCAGTTCTTTTCTATCTAATCTTTTTCTGAACTTACCTTCTACTATTCCATCCTTTCTCAATCTCTCAGATGCCATGTATAAGAATGGCACAGAATTTTTTAAAACAACAGTTTTAAAGGAACATTTATATACCACAGCGTTCACCCATTTTAAGTGTACTGTTCAATGATTTTTAGTAAATTTACAAGTTCTGAAACAATCACCACAATCCAGTTTTCAAACACTTCTGTCCCCCAAAGGTCCCTTGTGCCCATTTATAATCAGTCCCTGTACCCATCCCCACTCCTAGGGAATCATTAATCTACTTTCTGCCTATGAAGATTTGTCTTTTCTGGACATTTCATATAAATGAATTGTACAATATGTGGTCTTACCTTTTCTTAATGTTTTTGAGGATCTTTCATTGTGATATATATCAGTATTTCATTTCTTTCTATTGTTTAATATTATTCCTTTGTATGTTTATGCCACGTTTTATTTATTCATTCACCAATAGATGGACATTTCGGTTGTTTCCACTTTTGAACTATTATGAATGATGCTGTTATGAATATTTGCTTACAAGTCTCTGTCCACACATTTCTCTTGAGTAGATACCTAGAAGTAGAATTGCTGAGTCATGTGGTAAATTTATGCCAAACTTTTGCAAAGTGGCTGTACCATTTTACATTCTCACCAGCAAAATGTGAGGATTTCTGTTTCTGTACATCTTAGCCAACAATTGTTATTGTCTGTCTTTTTGATTGTAGCCATCTTAATGAGTATTAACTGGTATCACATTGTGGTTTTAATTTCGATTTCCCTGTTGACCATGTTGAGCAACTTTTCATATACTATTAGAATGGTACAGAATATTAAATTGTTTTTATGGTAGCATCTGGCCACCTTTTCTCTATGAGTTATATATATGACCATATTTATAAGTGAGATTAGGAAGAGAGTAAGTATACTTGTGTCAGAAATTTGTTATTCATTGGTGCAAAGTAAAGGTGAAATCAGGAGATAAGATAAAGATAAGATAAATGTGTCATGATTGGTTTCACATATGGATGGCTGGTAGACTTTTACCAATTTTAAACTGTCATGGAATTATGAAGCTGAAAGGGACCTTAGTAATCATCTAATTCAGCATTATCATTTTATTGAATTGGTGAAGAAGTGTACCCAAGGAAGTAAATAATTTGTCCAGCTAGCTAGTGGCAGAGTTAAAACCAGAACATACCATTCTTGGTTCCCATCCCCTTGCAATATCTACTTTCCTGGGATGCTGATTATTTGCTTAGATTGTTTTTTTTTTATTTTTTTATTTTTGGCCACGTGGCACGTGGGATCTTTGTTCCCAGGCCAGGGATCAAACCCGTGCCCCCTACAGTGGAAATGTGGAGTCTTAACCACTGGATCACCAGGGAAGTCCCTGTTTGCTTAGATTTCTAATGTACTGTTTGCTTTTGAAATTTGATAGTAATCAAATGCAGGTAGCATTTATTTTAAATTGATACTTCCTTTGACTCAGTATCAAGAATTACTTGATATGTAATTCTGAAAGTGGTATGATAATATATGCTTGATCCCATATAACATGATTTAGAAATGTGAATTTGTCTATTTCTAAAAAGTGTGATTTTGTTATAGTTTGAAGGTAGTAGTCATTAAGTGCTTACCTTGCCCCTTTTCACAACTAATTTTTAAAATTATTATTCAGAACATACAGAATACATAAAGAGACCAATATAGCACATTTGCTAAATCTGGGAAACATATTGTGATATCTACTTCAGACATTTTTAGAATAAAAATTTATAGGGAAATAAAGCCTCAGTATGTACTTCATTAGATCCCCATTCTCTCCCTCTCTCCTCAGAGGTAGCCACTATTTTGAAATTCATATGTATCCTTCTTGCCCATATTTTAAATATTGCCACATACAGATGTATCCGGAAAAAAATATATATATAGTTCAGTGCATTTTTGAAAGTACAATATGTGCCTCTGTTGTTTTTCACTCAGTGTCATGTGATGTCTCCATAATGATTTATATAATGCAGATTTATTTTAACTATTGTAGTTTTCCCATTATGTTAATATTTCATAATGAATTTATGCATTCTGTTGATGGCTGTTAGATTGTTTCTATTAAATTCACACAATTTTTCAAACTTACATAAAAAATAATTGTATCGGACTTCCCTGGTGGCACAGAGGTTAAGAATCTGCCTGCCAGTGCAGGGGACACAGGTTTGATCCCTGGCCTGGGAAGATCCCGCATGCCGTGGAGCAACTAAGCCTGTGCGCCACAACTATTGAGCCTGGGCTCTAGACCCTGCGAGCCACAACTGCTGAGCCCGCACACCATAACTACTGAAGCCCATGTGCCTAGAGCCCATGCTCCGCAACAAGGGAAGCCACCACAAATGAGAAGCCCTCTCACCTCAACAAAGAGTAGCCCCTGCTCAGTACAACTAGAGAAAGCCCGCGCACAGCAATAAAGACCCAACGCAGCCATAAATAAATAAATAAATAAATTGTATCATAGATATTGTAAGTTTATATATGTTTGTTTTTAAACTTGCAGTTAAAAAGAGAAATGTTTGGTTTTAAATCATCTCTGTCTAAGCACCAGATGAGTATTTTGTCAAACAAGGAAGACAGTTACATTGGCTGCTGTGAGACAAATAAAATGATTTCGGAATTGAGGTACGGTTTTCAGATGCTGAAGTTTTAGCACATACAATGTGTTTTAAAAATTGGTAATTAAGATCTTTAGTTGAGAAGTTGAGAAATATACAGAAAAGTCTAGAGAGTATTATAACAAATATCCATATTTCCACAACTAAGAGCTGATTCTTCTTAACACTTGATATCTTTTTCAAATCTGTTTCTTTAAATAAAAAATAAAACATTACAGGGTAGTAATGCCCTTTGATCCTTAACACTAGTCCCATTCTCCACCTAAGTATCTACCATCATGAGATGGATATCTATCCTTCAATTCATTTGTGTTTGTTTATACTCACACATATAAATATATTGTTTTTATATGTTTTGTAATTTTGCTTTTTCACTCAGCATCATTTTTAAAATTCATCGTGTCGAGGTAGGTAGGTAGAATGGTTGATCAATGGATGGATTAGTGTGGTTAGTTTAGTTTTAATAGCTGTATAAGAGTCTCTCCTACAACTACATCACAATTTATCTGTTCCTTTATCGATAGTTGCCTTATTTCTAGTTTTCCGCTATTACAAATAGTGCTGCAAAGTCCATACTTACACATGTTTCCTGTACAATATGCGAGAATTTCTCTAGCAGATATTTCTAAAAGTAAAATTGCTGGGTCATAGGGTGTATACTATCAAGTTTCTAAAGTAGCTGAACCAGTTTACAATGTAATCAGTTGTATATAAGACTTTCTGTGTATCTTGGCCAATAGTTGACTAATATCAGAGTTTAAAATTTTTTTAATTAAAATTATCTTAATTTGAAAGGGGAAAATGGTTTGTGGTATTTTTATAGAATCTTTCTAATAATTTTTGGTTTATTTTCTTTTGTGCCAGGTTTAAGCTTGCAATGAAAGAGGCAGAAATTCAAAAGCTTCAAGCAAACCTGACTGCTAATCAATTATCTCACAATCTTATTGCTTCTAATGGCAAGCAAGAAAGTGGCAAATTAAATAGTTTAGAAACAGAACCTGTAAAACTAGGAGGTAATCAAGTAGGTAAGTATATTATATTCAATTCTTATTATAAATTGTAATCAGAGTTCTTTATGATAGTTTTTTAAAGAAACAGATTATCAGCTGGTTACTATTATCAAACATACTTGATAATCTGTTATTACTACTTATGTGTTGATAAGACAGTAAAAATTATTTCAAAATTCTTGAACTTTGCATCATTCTTTAAAAATATATTTTTGAAGTAAAATTTACTTACAGTAAGATGCATCCATTTAAAATAAAAGTTCAGTGCTTTTTGTCAGATTTTTTAAAAAATAAATTTATTTATTTTTGGCTGTCTTGGGTCTTCGTTACTGCACATGGGCTTTCTCTAGCTGCGGTGAGTGGGGACTACTCTTCGTTGTGGTGCATGGTCTTCTCATTGTGGTGGTTTATCTTGTTGCAGAGCATGGGCTCTAGGCTCATGGGCTTCAGTAGTTGTGGCATGCAGGCTCAGTAGTTGTGGCTCACGGGCTCTAGAGTGCAGGCTCAGTAGTTGTGGCGCACGGGCTTAGTTGCTCCGTGGCATGTGGGATCTTCCCAGACCAGGGCTCAAACCCGTGTCCCCTGCATTGCTAGGTGGATTCTTAACCACTGCACCAGAAGGGAAGTCCAGATGTTTGGTTTTTTCATATGGTTATACCCTTGTTAGCATCACCACAATCAAGACATACAGTAGTCCCTGCCTATCCTCCCAGGATACATTCCAAGACCCCTGGTGGATGCCTGAAGTTGCAGATAGTGTGAAACCCTATGTACTACTATGTTTTTTCCTATACATACATGCCTGTGATGAAGTTTAATTTGTAACTTAGGCACAGTAAGAGATTAACAACAATAATAATAAAACAGAACAATTATAACAGTATACTATAATAAAAGTTATGTGAATGTGGCCTCTCTCTCCCTCAAAATATCTTATTGTACAAATTTAATGCCTTTTCTATATTCACACATTGTGGCTATAACTTTTGCAGTTTGACGTGTGATAACAAAACTAGCACAAATTTCTTTTTTCTTTACAGTTTCCTGGATTGAAGAGTCTTACTGCAGATCTTAGCAACCTCAGCATACAACTTTTTTTCTTATTAAGTCTAGTACTTTCACCTTTTCACTTAAAGGGAGCATGTTATAGCTTCTTTTATATTTGAATTGCTAGCATCACTACTCTTGCACTTTGGGACCATTATTAAGTAAAATAAGGATTACTTGAACACATGTACTGCAATACTGCAACAGTTGATTTGATAACCTAGTTGGCCACTAAGTGACTAACGGGTGGGATACATGGACAAAGGGATTATTATTCACGTCCTAGGCAGGACGGAGCTGGATGGCAAGGGACAGTGTGAGATTTCATCACACTACTCAGAACGGCACACAGTTTATAACTTATGAATTGTTTATTTCTGGAATTTTCCATTTATTATTTTCGAGCCTCAGTTGACAGCAGGTAACTGAAACTGTGGAATGCAAAAACTAGGATAAGGGAGGACTACTGTATAACATTTCCCTCAGGATCCATATACTCCTTCCGAGTTACTTTGGGTTTAATTTTCTCTCCTTTTTAAATTTTTCTTAAAGTGAAAGCTTAGATTATTGACTTTAAATCTTTCTTCTTTTCAAATGTATTTAAAGGTACAAACTTCCCTTTAGGCAATGCTTTAGCTGCATCCCATTAATTTTATATGTTATGCTTTTATTCAGTTCAAAATATAATATCTCTTGTGTGTGTTTATTTCCAAATATCTCTGTGTTATTAGTGGTGGACATTAGGTTGGTTTCATTAAACAAATGAATTCATGAATGTACCTGATTTCAATTTTTTAAATATTTTGAGACTCAGTTTATTGGCCAGCATATGGTCTATCATGGTGAATATTCCAGATTCACTTAAAAAAATTCTGTATTCTGTAATTATTGGGTGAAGTTTTTTTTTGCACTTCTTTTGAGATATAGTTGACATACAGCATTATGTAAGTTTGTGTATAGTGTAATGAGTTGACTTATATATGTTATGATTTCCACAGTAAATTTGGTTAACCTTGTCATCTCATTTACATACCAAAAAAAAAGGAAAAAAGTTTTAAGATCTACTCTCTTAAATTTCAAATATACTATACAACAGTGTAACTTATTATCATCATGTTGTACATTATGGATCCACTTTTACTTTTTTTTTTTTAACATCTTTATTGGGGTATAATTGCTTTACAATGGTGTGTTAGTTTCTGCTTTATAACAAAGTGAATCAGTTATACTTAGTTCTTAGCCAATAATTAACATGAAGAAACCACCATGTAGAAGAAAACTTGCAGTATTTGTACTAATAGCAAATCACTTGAATACCTTATATATGATTATCTAGGTTATTAGGTAGTCTTTTTAAGACTCTTTAGGTTTTGTTTGTTTGTTTGTTGCTTTTAAAAATTTGAATATTTCCCTTTCTTCCTTTCTTTTTCTTTCTTTCTTTATCATTAAAGTATAATTGACCTACAACACTGTTAGTTCCAGGTGCACAACATAAAGATTCGACATTACAAAATCACCACAATAAGTCTAGTTACCATCTGTCACCATACAATGTTATTACAATATTATTGACTGTATTCCCCATACTGTACAATATTATTGACTGTATTCCCCATACTGTACCTTTCATCCCCATGACTCATTTATTTTGTAACTGAAAGTTTGTGCCTCTTAATCTCTCTCACCTATTTTATTTATCTCCTCCTCCTTCCCCTTCCCCAACTGCAACCACCAGTTTGTTCTCTGTATCTATGAGTCTGTTTCTGTTTTATGTTTCTTCATTTGTTTTGTTTTTTAGATTCCATATATAAATGAAATCATACAGTATTTGTCTTTGTCTAGCTTATTTCACTTAGCATAATACCATCTAGATCAATCAGTGTTGTTGCAAATGGCAGGATTTCGTTCTGTTTCATGGCTGACTAATATTCTATTGTATAAATACATTTTACATATTCATCTTCTTTATCCATTTATCAATTGATGGGCACTTAGGTTGCTACCATATTTTGGCTATTGTAAATAATGCTGCAATGAACATGGGAGTGCAGATATCTTTTCTAATTAGTATTTTGTTTTCTTCAGAAAAATACCCAGAAGTGGAATTGCTGGGTCATATGGTAGTTCTGTTTTTAATTTTTGAGAAACCCCCATACTGTTTTCCACAGTAGCTGTACCAGTTTACATTCCTACCAACAGTGCACAAGGATTTCCACATTCTTTCAACCCTTGTTATTTCTTGTCTTTTTGATAATAGCATTTCTAACATGTGTGAGGTGATATCTCATTGTGGTTTTGATTAGATTTCCATGATTAGTGTTGTTAAGCACATTTTCATGTACCTTGTTGGCCATTGGTGTCTTGTCTGGAAACATGTCTATTCAGATCCTTTTCCCTTTTTTTTTTTTTTTTTTGCTGTTGAGTTATATGAATTTTTAAATATATTTTGAATATTAACCTCTTATCAGATACATGATTTACAAATATTTTCTCCCATTCCATAGGTTGACTTTTCATTTTATTGATGGTTTCTTTTGCTGTACAGGAGATTTTTAGTTTGATATAGTCCCACACATTTGTTTTTGCTTTTGGTGTAAAATAAAAAAAAAAAAAAAAATCATTGCTGAGACTGATGTCTAATAGCTTACAGTCTGATTTTGTTTTTTTTTTTCCCCTAGTAGTTTTATGGCTTTAGTGTTATGTTCATGTCTTTAATCCATTTTAAGTTAATTTTTGTGTATAGTGTAAGATAATGGTCCAGTTTCATTTTTTTTGTATGTTGCTGTCCAGTTTTCCCGACACCATTTATTGAAGGGACTATCCTTTCCCCATGGAATACTCTTCACTTCTTTGTTGTAAATTAATTGACCATATATACATATATTTATTTATAGTCTTTCTATTTTGTTCCATTGATCTATGTGTCTGTTTTTATGCTAGTACCATACTTTTTCTGATTACTATAACTTTGTAATATAGTTTGAAACCAGGAAGTGTAATACCTCCAGTTTTCTTCTTCTTTCTCTTTTGTGGGTCCATATAAATATTTAGGATTGTTTGTTAATTTCTGTGAAAAATGCCATTGGAATTTTGATAGGGGTTGAATTGAATCAGTAGGTCACTTTGGGTAGTATGGACAGTTTTACAATGTTAATTCTTTTAATCCATGAGGATGAGATGTCTTTCCATTTATTTGTGTCTTCAGTTTCTTTCATCAACGTCTTGTAGTTTTCAGTATACAGATCTTTTACCTACTTGGTTATATTTATTCCTAAGTATTTTATTCTTTTTGACTTAATTGTAAATGGGGTTGTTCTCTAAATTTCTCTTTTTTTTTAAATTGGTTAATTGTTTATTTATCAAGGGAAACTATTCCTTAGCCCAGATATTCATAGTTCATAGTTTCATAGTTCAGGAACACAGGTAAGTGACAAACTTCCATGGAACTCAACCCAAAGGAATTCTTTATATCCCAAAATCACTTTGCACTCTGAAAGATACCGACCTTCCTCATCTCTTCAAAATGTTTTATGGAATCATAATTTCTGTAGAAATCTGCATATGCCTCCTTTCTTGGTTCAGCCACAGCAAACTTACAGAAAGTTGCAACTCCTAGGGAGACAGTGAGAGCTCCAACAATATGAAATCGCAGGCGCTTGGCCAAAAGGCCACACATCTGAGGTTTTGTCAAAGAACTGGAAGGCAGGGGAGTTTTTCTTGATAGCTCAACAACGACGTCCTTCCAGACTGATGGAGTAAATTTCTTTCTGATAGTTTATAGTTTACTCAGAATTAAGATTTTTTCCACTTGAAGTGAAATGTGGAAACTTTACAAGGTTATAGGTCTCTTTACCATCCATATTTTATATTGTAATTGTCCAGTGTATTATACCAGCATACATTGAAAACCTCAGTAGACAGTGCTATTTTTTTCTTTCAACTGTCATAATCTGATAGTTAATCACTGCAGCTTTTTGCTGATTAGTGTTTGCCTGGTAAAACTTTTTCCATCCTTTTAAACCTGTATCTTTATATATAAGTGAATTTCTAATAGAAAGCATATAATTGGTTCTTTAATAACCAGTGATTTTTTACTCTTTTATTGGAATGTTTAGGTTACTTACATTTAATGTAATTATTGATCTTTTGGGGTTTAAATCTACCATCTTGGTATTTGTTTGCTTTCTATTCTGTTGCCCTTTGTTCATCTTTCTTGCCTTCTTTTGAATGAATTATAGTATTCCATTTTTTTAATGTCCTCAATTGAGTAATTAATTATACCTCTTTTTTTTTAGTGGTTGCCCTAGTGGTTAACATATGCATCTTTAACTTATCATACTCTATCTTCAAGGACAATGGGCTGCCAGTAGCAGAAATGACAGCAGAGAAAATTAGATATCTAAGTAATTAGAGGGAATAGAGAAGAGAATGATAAGATCAGCAGAGGGAATTATTAGAGGTGGTGATAGTATATATCATATATAACATCACAGAAGAACAGAGACAATGATAGATTACTTAGAAATTGAATTATTAGGGATATGGAGAATTGATGGGAAATGGCTACTTATGCAGTCCTTGAAGGCATAGTACATCTGTACTTGTTTCCACATCTGTGTATTCTCAGGCAGTCATCTACATTATGCATCTACTTTATTTATTTTCTTAAATTAATTTATTTATGGCTGTGTTGGATCTTTGTTGCTGTGCGCGAGCTTTCTCTAGTTGTGTTGAGCGGGGTCTAGTCTTCGTTGCGGTGCGTGGGCTTCTCATTGCAGTGGCTTCTCTTGTTGCAGAGCATGGGCTCTAGGCATGTGGGCTTCAGTAGTTGCAGCATGTGGGCTCAGTAGTTGTGGCTCGTGGGCTCTAGAGCACAGGCTCAGTAGTTGTGGCGCATGGGCTTAGTTGCTCCACGGCATATGGGATCTTCCCGGACCAGGGATTGAACCTCTGTTCCCTGCATTAGCAGTTGGATTCTTATCCACTGCGCCACCAGGGAAGTCCCTATGCATCTACTTTAAAGCACTCCTGAAAGCTTGTTTACCTTTGAGTGGGCATAGGTGTGTACATTTATAATGGAGAAAAGGTATATTCAAACAACTACCTCTGATAACCTTCAGTGTTTTTAAAAAGCATTACTGAGTTCTCATCAGCTCGTTTGGAATAAGAAGGATTCTCTGTTTTTGGCTTTTGAACCTACATCTATATACAGTAGCAAATATTATTAATGATCTCAAGTTATCCAAATAAATTTATGATAAACTTTGGTTTAAGGAGACAGGACAATGTTTGTGTGTTTTGGGTTTTTTTTTTCAAACAATGATTTATATCCAAACAATGGGATTTTTAAAGATGGAGACGGGCTCTTTGTGGAGAAAAAGAAAAGTGAGTGAGTCAGAAGACCTTATTCCTACTTTGTTATATATTTAATAATAGGAAGTACCTTGCTTACCATGTTCCTTCATTATATTTTCCTTAATGTATGTTTTATTCTCCATCCACTTTAGTATGCTTTAGATCAGAAACTAAACTTATGATTAAATCTTTCAACATTGAAATGGGTTTTTATTCTTTAAGTTTTATACAGAACAATTTTCCTTTTATATTTATTAACAGGAAGTATAAAAGATCAAAATCAACATACTGTGAACAAGCAATACGAAAGAGAAAGGCAAAGACTTGCTTCTGGAATAGAAGAATTACGTGATAAGTTGATGCAGATAGAAGCTGAGAATTCTGATTTGAAGGTTAACATGGCCCACAGAACTAGTCAGTTTCAGCTGATTCAAGAGGAGCTGCTAGAGAAAGCTTCAAACTCTAGCAAACTTGAAAGTGAAGTAAGCTTGAATTAGCTATTTATATGTGCTGGATTTTGAGAGAAGAAAAAAGTGTTGTAGGGTTTTTGTATAACTTGTATGTTAAAGTACAGATTTATACACTAAAAAAAAATTAATGGTACCTCATGAGTTATAAATTCTTTTAAAATTATATTTGGAAACTTCTGGGTTTTAACATATGTTAAAAGTAGGAAAATACTGTAGTGGCTAAATTTGGTGAAACAAACTGTACTGCATTCTATTATTTCTTCCAAGTATAAGTTAATATGGCTAATACATATTTACAAGTAAAAAACTTGGATTATGTAATTGGGAAAAAAGGGGTAGTAATAGAGGATTTCAAACTTTAGCAAACAGTAGAACCACCTGGAAAGCCTGTTAAACATGCATGTTTTGGGTCCTATTCCAGTGATTCTGATTTAGTACGTATGGAGTAATGCAAAGGAATCTGCATTTTTAAACAATTACATGTGAATCTGATGCAGATATCTTATGGATTACATTCTGAAAAGGGGATAAAGTATGTTTTATGAACATATGATCATCATTTCCACTGAGGACAGAACAGGATGCCTTATTAGGTAATTGTGGACCAGGTCCACGTGTGTATATGCTCTACTCACCCTTCAAACCAGAGGCTGCAGCTATCTGAGGGTACTTTTTAAATGTCTGATTTTTCATCTTAAAATCTGTAGCCAAGACTAGGGAAAAGACCTGTGGGATAGGAACTTAAATAAGTAATGGAAAGGAGATTTAGTCAGTCTATAACTATAGCCATCAGCTTACTTAGAAAATTGCCAAGTACTGAGATGAATAACTTTTTTAAAATTAAAATATTAGCACAGTCTCGTTGAAAATACAAAAAGGGACAAAGAAGAAAATAAAACATTGATAGTTCTACCACAAGAAATTACTACTGTTAACATTTTATTGTACTAATTTCAGTCTTTAATAGCTACTTTTATGAAATGAGTTCAGGGGCAATCCTATTTGAGTATAGGGATCTGAAATAAATACTTATGTATTACAGATGGAATAAGCTGTGTCATATTTCTGGTCTTCCCTTCACTGTTTTTCTTCTGAATTGTCACTTATTTTTAAAAAATAATTTTTTATTTATTTCAATGTGTTTTCAGATGACAAAGAAATGTTCTCAACTTTTAACTCTAGAGAAACAGCTAGAAGAAAAAATAGTTGCTTATTCCTCTATTGCTGCAAAAAATGCGGAACTAGAACAGGAACTTATGGTAAAAATTACCTTTTTTTTGCTACAGATTTACTGTGGCTTTAAGGAACTTAATTTGTAACAGCATGTTTGTTTTAGTATCATTATTCTAAAATGTACCGTATAGGAAAATATAAATTCTACCAAACTCTTCAGATTATTCAATTTTTATTTCTATATTTTTAAGTTATATATTCTTACGTTAATATGGCAAGTTGTTATCTAAAGTTCCTCATTTTTATTTTAGTAGAATTGAAGGAAATGGTAGTAGTTCTTTGATATGCTTTGCAGCATTTTTAAACAATCTTTTTTTTTTTAACATCTTTATTGGGGTATAATTGCTTTACAATGGTGTATTAGTTTCTGCTTTATAATAGAGTGAATCAGTTATATAATTTTTAAAAAAACATTCTCTTTTTTATAAATATTTAAATATTTTTGAAGTTGATGTATTAACTACTATGATTCTTTGAAGCCTAGAGTATGATAAATTTTATGCTTTACTAATGTACTTTTATGTAAACTCTTTCTTAATTATGTTCTTTTAAAGTGTTTTTGTATTTTTAGGAAAAGAATGAAAAGGTTAGAAGTCTAGAAACCAATATCAATACAGAGCATGAGAAAATTTGTTTAGCTTTTGAAAAGGCAAAGAAAATTCATCTTGACCAGCATAAAGAAATGGAAAAGCAGATTGAAAGAGTAAGATATTAATTATGTTTTTATAAGTAAATGTAATATATATTTAGAATATGAATGCTGAAAAGAACCTTAAACATTACTAGCTCAGCTTTCTTTATTTTAATAGATGAGGAAACAAAGACATAGAAAAGTTCGTGGCAAATACTAAAATTAGAATCGCATTACTTCTGGATCATTTTACAATGCTCTCTCCTTTAGTACTCTTGCCATTTCAGTTTTGATCATTATTTTTTGACATTATCAAGCTAAGAGTGATTCTGTAGACTCTTTTCCACTAGAGATATTATTTGCTTGAAGATTGGTTAAGAGGAGACGCTCTCTTGATCTTGGGTTAAAAGTGAAGAGTAAAAAAAAAAATAAAAAACAAAAGTGAAGGAGAAACTGTGAGACCAGAAGCACAAGACCAAATAAAAACAGATAGTTTGGATGGGTTTAATAGCAGAATGTAGCGAACACACAAATATAAGCTTCAAATGTAGAGCAATAGAAATTATTCAGTCTGAGTAATAGACAGAAAAAAAGATTTGGAAAAAAAGTGAACAGAGCCTCAGAGACCTGTTTAACAATATCAGAAGGTCTAGCATTTATGTCATCAGAGTACCAGAGACGAGGAGAATGAGACTGGTACAAAAAATATTTGAAGGAATTATGACTGAAAACTTTGCAAATTTGTGAAGGAAATAAATTTACAAATTCAACAAGCTTAAAGAGGATAAAATCTTGAAAGCAGCCAGAGATAAATAACACATTGTATATAGAGGAACAAAGATTAAACTTTACTGCAGATTTCTCATCAGAAGATCAAAAACTGTGAAGTTTAGAAGACCGAAGAACTGTTTTTTTTTTTTAAGTGCTGAAAGAGAAAAATTGTCAACCTAGAATTTTATGTCCAGCAGTAATATTCTTTAGGATATATAAAGACATTCTTAGATTAAGGGCAATTTAGAGAACTTGTCATGAGCAGACTTGTTCTAAAATAAATGATAAAGAAAGTTCTTCAGGCAAAAGAGAAATAAGAGGGAAAATTTAAGCCTCAGGGATGAAGAGCAACAAAAACAGTAAATATTTGGTTACATACCATGGACTATATTTATTCTTTTAAGATTTCTGTAATATTTATGACCGTTGAAAGAAAGAATAGAATTGTCTAGTGAGGTTTTCATTGTATGTTGATGTAATACCTTGGATGATTACAATATAAAATAAGAATGGTATAATCTTGTAAAGTTTGTACATTTCACTTCAGGTAGAAAAATCTAATTCTGAGTAAACTATGAAAATTTAAAAACATTTGGTCCCCTTTATCCACAGATTATATGTTCTAAGATCCCAACTGGATTCCTGAAACTGTGGATAGTACCAAAGCCAATAAATACTATGTTTTTTTCTATACATACATACATACCTATGATGAAGTTTAATTTATAAGTTAGGCACAGTAAGAGAATATCCAAATGGCCAGCATCACTACTCTTGTACTCTGGGGCCATTATTTAGTAAATTAAGAGTTACTTGTACACAAGCACTGCTGTACCATGACAGTCAATCTGATAACTGAGATGGCTGCTAAGTGACTAATGGCAGGTAGCATATACAGTGTGGATATGCTGGGCAAAGGGATGATTCACATCCTGGGCAGGAAAGAGTTTTCCTCAGGGTTTAATCATGCTACTTAGAATGGCATGATATTTAAAACTTATGAATTGTTTATTTGTGGAATTTAATATTTTCATATTACAGTTGAGTGTGGGTAACTGAAACTGTGGAAAGCGAAACTACAGATAAGGGGGGACTACTGTATGTATATTATATTCCCTAGAACAACCACTAAAAAAACTATACAGATACAGTAATATGCTAACAAATAAAATATTATAGAATTCTGAAAATATTCATATATTTAAAAGAAGTCTGGAAAGGGGAAACAAATGAAAAATAGAGGAGACAAAGAGAAAACTAATAAAGGGATGTGTGCTTAAATTCAGGCATCTCAGATATTAATTTAGATGTAACTGTTCTAAACACACCAAATAAAAATTGAAATTGTGAGATTGAATTTAAAAAAAACAAGACGCAGATATACTGTCTTTAAGAAGTCTGTGTTAAATATAAAGATGTAGATAGGTCACCTATAAAAGCATGGAAAAAGATGTACCAGGCAAACAATAATCAAAGAAAAGCTGGAGTGGCAATATAAATATCAAACAAAGTAGACTTTAGAACAAAGAAAATTACCGGGGATAAAATAGAAAATTGTGTAGTGATAAAAGGCTCAATTCACCAAGAAGACATAACAGTCCTAAATGTGATATGTACCTAACAAAGTAATTTCAAAATACGTGAAGCAAAAGTGAAGAGGTCTGAAAGGAGAAAGAAATTAATACAAAATTATAGTTGGAGATGTCAACACTACTCTTTTCTGTAATCGATAGAATAAGTAGATTAAAAATTCAGCAAGGATATAGAACTCACCTGAACAACACTGTCAACGAACTTTTAAAAAAAATTTTGGCATGCTACATGGCATGTGGGATCTTAGTTCCCCAACCAGGGATGGAACTATGCCCACTGCAGTGGAATTGCAGAGTCTTAACCACTGGACCAACAACAGAATATACATTCTTCTTCAGTACGCCTGAAATATTCACCAAATATACCATACCCTAGGTCATAAAATCAGCCTTATCAAATTTCAAAGAATTAAAACCATGTATACAGTTATCCCTTGGTATCCATGGATGATTGGTTCCAGGACCCACTGTAAAAGATCTGCAGATGCTCAAGTCCCATAGTGGGCCCTCTATATCGGCAGTTCCACATCATTGGATTTAACCAACCACGTATCATTTAGTACTGTATGTATTTATTGAAAAAAATCTGCATATAAATGCACCTGCACTGTTCAAACCCATGTTGTTCAAGGGTCAACTGTAGTATGTTTTCTGACCATAATGGAATTAAACTAGAAACCATTAACGGAAAGATACCTGGAAATTCCCCAAATATTTGGAAGTTAAACAACACACTTTTTAAAAAAATATCTTTATTGGAGTATAATTGCTTTACAATGTTGTGTAAACAACACACTTTTAAATAATCCATGGATCAATGAGTAAGTCTCAAGGGAAATTTAAAATATTTTAAACAATGAAAATGAAAACACAATATATCTGAATTTGTGGAATGCAGCTAGAGCAGTTCATAGAGCTTTATAGCATTAAATGCATACATTAGAAGAAAATTAAAAAAATCAGTAATCTAAACTTTCACATTAAGAAACTAGGAAAAGAAGAGTAAAATTAACCCATAAGAAACAGAAAGATGGAGATAATAAAAAGCGTAACTGAAAGAAATTGGAATTTGAAAAGAGAATATTAGTAGAGAAAATCAGTGAAATCTAAAGCTGGTTCTTTGAAAAGATCAATAAAATTTATAAACCTCTAGCCAGTCTGATGAAGTAAAAAAAAAAGAGAGAGAAAACACAGATAACCTGTATCAAGAGTGAGTAAGGGTGTATCACTAGAGACATCACAGATATTAAAGGTTAATAAAGGAAAGGAGAGGTTTATCCTAAGAATGGAAGGCTGGTTCAACATTCGGAAAAAAAAAAATCATTGTAATCTACCATATTAGCATACCAAAAACCAGAAAAACCTACAAGATCATGTCAATAGATGCAGAAAAGGCTTTTGATAAAATTCAACATTTTCTCATGATAAAAACTCTTAGCCAACTAGAAATAGAAGGGAACTTCATGAACCTGATGAAGGGCATCTTCCCAGAAAATCCTATGGATAATATATCTTAATAGTGAAACACTTAATTCTCTCCTGTAAGATTGGGAACAGAGCAAGAATATCTGCTGTCATCACTCCTATTTAACATCATACTAAAAAGCCCATTTCAATCAGGAGGAAACAAAGCTAACCCTGTTTCCTGTCTATGTAGGAAATCCCAAAGAATCTACAAAAATACCTTAAAATTAATGAGCGAGCAAGGTCACAGGATGCAAGGTTAACATCCACATCAGTTGTATTTCTATATATAGTTGACTCTTTTTTTTTTTTTTTTTATTATTTGTTCATTTTCGCATTAGATTCCAGATCCATGAAGGTGGGGCTCACCTCTGTCATGTACAGCACTGAGTCCTGATGACTGACACGCTGCAGGCCCTAAATTCGTGTTTGTTTTTGTTGTGCGGTTGCAGGAAACTTAGAAAGTATTCCTGCAAGTGGTCATTTTGAGGCTGGCTTTGAAAGTTGGCTACTTTTATTTATTTGTTTTTTGCTGTACGCGGGCCTCTCACTGTTGTGGCCTCTCCCGTTGTGGAGCACAGGCTCCGGACGCGCAGGCTCAGTGGCCATGGCTCACGGGCCCAGCCTCTCCGCGGCACGTGGAATCTTCCCGGACCGGGGCACGAACCCGCATCCCCTGCATCGGCAGGCGGACTCTCAACCACTGCGCCACCGGGGAAGCCCCTATAGTTGACTCTTGAACAACACTGGTTTGAACTGTGTGGGTCCGTTTATCCTCACATTTTTTTCAGTTTGTGTAATACTGCACAGTCTGTGGTTGGTTGAATTGGTGGATACAGAACGGCAGATATGAAGGGCAGACTGCAAAGTTATTCACAGATTTTTGACTTCAAGGAGGGGTTGTTGCCACTAATCCTCATGTTGTTCAAGGGTCAACTGTACTAGCAATGAACAATTAGAAGCTAAAATTTTAAAAATACTGCTATTTACAAAGCTCCAAAGAGATAAGACATAGATGTAAATAAAACAAAATATGTGGAATATTTGTATGCCGAAAACTACAAAATGTTAAAGAAAGACCTAAATAAATGGAAAGAAATACCATTTCTGTGGATTGTAAGTCTCAATATATTTAGGATGTCAGTTCATCTTAAACAGAGCTCTCGATTTAATACATTTCCAATCAAAATCCCAGTAAAAAGTTTTTTGTACACATAGATAGCTGATTTTGAATTTTGTAATGGA